AAAGACCAACATCCCACTAAAACAGATGTAATATGTCGATCCCCCATATTCGAAACGCTGTCAGAATCCCCAAGTAGCGAGAGAAAAACTCTCCATACTGACGTGTATCCCAAAAAAAGAAACGTCATGTTGACGTCAACAATAATATCAATATGCATGATTCAATCGACACCGTTTGAAGCCAAGTCGATGCCAAGTACCACATACCCATGAGCTTAAGTCTGCGTATGCTGAAATAAAAATAGAAAGAAGGAAATACTCCGAAGTACTTGGGAGATCGACGTCGACGTCAAGCTTTTTCCAGAAGCGTGGGGGGAGTTTGATACGCAACCTGAGTCTAAAGAAGAAGCTGAATATGAGTTGGCTTTGGCGATCTTTCAAGCTCATGATAATAGTAGGAGGAAGTTTAATCTTTGAAAGTACAGTAGGTATTCCTCTCTTATCTCGTACGCGATGATTTAGGTCAAAAAATTATCTGTAGAGCTGAAAATAATCCAATGCAAGTACACGTGGTGAAAGAAATTAGTTCGCTTCGTAGTAGAGAAGGTATTTCGACTAGTATATTGTATATTTCTCTCCGCACATAGTATACACCAACACTCATGAACTAGTAAATCTCAGAGGAAGGACCTTTTTAACTTTAGGTACGGGAAAAATGTTCTTGAAAGTACAAAGTAAATTGCTCTCCGTACACACTATTTGATAATTATTAACACTTTAACCAACACCTAATAACCAACAAGAACAAAAAATAGAGCCAGGCTATCTTAGAGGAAACGACACTTATCAAAAGAGCTAACATCATCGCAACAAAATTCCCTTCCTCTCACACCATGCCCATTTCGAATCCAGCTTTCATCAATGAGAAGAACCACAGCGGTCTAAAATCGAACTTCAACCCAATTCTCAATTCCGGATAAGCAGGCCAGCGCCAATGTTATCATTGATGACATCTTTGTTCTCCAACCTAGAATTTGGCTTGTTTCCTACTTGCGAAGCGATCGCAGTACAATCCTAAGACCATCACCGGAACAGAGAATAAAGTTCGAACAACACTTGTACGGTCGGTACCGTATGCCAATACCGGTTTATGTGCCAGTGACAGAGGTAGTGACAGCGAGAGTAGTTTATCAACATTCTCTAGCCCTGGGGTGAAATAAGGAATTGATGCAAAAGTCGCCGACACAGCCTAATTTTTACATCATAAAGTTTGCTTGAACGGGAATTTTCCATCAAAGTCTCGCTACTCAGGAGACCTTACTTGTGGATGTAACCAGAGATAATCGAAAACATCCTCATTTAGCGGTAACGGAGTTGTTCGCAAGCGGAATTGCAATCGACAGCGTCGACTGAGCAATTATACGATGTAGAGTTCCATCCGAACATTTCCTCACCCCTTCATGTCGCGAAATGCTAAAGTGGTAGAAATCTAGACCACCTGTGCCAAATCTATTTCCAAATTTGACAGACACACTTATTCGTCTATCCGTCCATCTAAATCCAGCTTTGTACATTCGTACCCACTGAGGTATATTTCCTACTGGTTCTGCCCCAAAACCGGGACTTCTACTATTGCCCTCCATTCCATATGACGGCGAAATAAATCCTTCAATCCTGTCGCGTAACCCAACATGGAAAGCTTTCTCTACCGACGCGTCTCACTTCCGTCTCACGAATCACAGCAAGAAATCGGAACGATCGGCTCCCAGCCCACATATGTAAATCTCTCTGCAAAAGATTGTATCCCAGTAAATCCCTCATTGAAAAAGATGTTCTTCCACGCGGTAAGAACGGCACATACGATCGGTCAATTCATTGTGTTTCTCCGGTGGACAATATTATGGAGTCTTTGAGACATCTTCCGATAAATCAATACCGGCAACCCACACTAAACTGCCTGTAACGCTGTAACGCTACAAGTGAAATGATTGGATAGCCTATAGCAATCCCCGGGTATGTATAAGCTATGTCCCTACATACATACAAAAATTCCCCACCACAAACCACAAACCGCGGAACTTGATTTGACTTTGAACTTTGAGGCGAACGAACGACCCATCGTTCAAAATTCGCCACGTAGACTTGCGTATTGGGTTTCTCTTGATATCTGAATTATATTAATTGACTCATTTGGGTAATAGTCTAGAAGGATCTTGGAAGCCATGGAATCTTCTTGGTGTGGACAGGGCTGATTCGTGTTATGTGCTACCTCCCCCGAACTATCTCCATATTTTCCCTGTCATACGACATCATTTGAGTTGGTTTGATTTGTCCAGAAAGATACATGAGTAGCGGTGATTTTGCAGACATGCATGTATCCTAAGGTAACTTGGTAGCGTACCATCCCTCAGTAGCCAGCCCAGCCCCAAGAAATCATCAAGCCCGGAATCTTTCAATTCCCTTCCCCAAAACCGTAAGATTCTCGTCTCCACCGAGCAACATCATGCCAAAGTAGGAAGAGATCTCTCTCTCCAATCACTTGTCTCAGCTCCAATAATCTCCACAATTGAAGTTCTCCCTCGTCTTCTTTTTCTTCTAACTTCTCTGCATGTAGCTCTGCATGTACTTGCCCGTCAACTAGTAAATCTTTCAGGCGCTCCATATGCAACCCCGCCAATTGCTCCACAAACCAAGTTCGTGTGATATGATCCCGCTGTGAATGAACAGCGCCAATAGTAAATAACCAAATCAGCCATTGACATGTTTGTTCTGTGGTTGTCGCGGTATCAATTGTGGACAGAGATTCTTGTAATTGTTGTAAGAGGATAGAAGGACCAGTAGAGGAATGTGGGTATTCTTCAAGTATTGACTTCATGAATAGTAGAGCTCCGATACGAGTTGCTTTGTCGATAGTAGATTCTTGATCTGTTTCTAGAGACAGGGGAAATGATAACAATTCATACTCAATCCAGTAGATATCATCAAGAAAATCTCCTGGGTCAAGAAGAGCTTTGAATGATGAGGCGAACTGTATGGACTGGTAGAAGATAGCTAGATATTGCATTGTTTGTCTGAGATTTGAGTGAATACCGCATCTAGCGAGGGAAGTTTCAATGTAACTATTGATGGTGCGCTTCCTATGCACCGGTAGAATTTTAGATATTGATATTTCAGAATGATCTCGTGGTTTATAGTAGAGATATGGTTCAGCAGCATAATCAATCGCACCAGTGATATCAGACCTTGAGGATAATTAGAATGTGGTTCTTCTTACATCTTAGCAAAATCACCTACCGACGAAGTTTTGTCTGTATAATCATGGGAAGAGACGACATCGTGCCTCGTGTATTTATCATTTGTTGTATACCCCGCATATGAATATGCCATAAATCCGAATGGCCTGTATTTGCCTAAGTGGAAGTTTAGTAGACATCAAATAACCACATAGCAAAATATGCTATCAAAATTCAAACATACTTCTCCCAAAGCTACACACGACAAAGCAGCAATTGTGCTATCGTCTGCTGGTTTCCCATTCTGAAGTTTTTCCTTGACGATTTCCAAGGTTTTGCCAAGGTGGTACACTGAATCTTCCGAGTCTTTCCCACCTTGAAGCAAGGAGAGATAAATTGCGCCAGCATACAATATCGCATGGAACATTGCTGCATCGTTGATTGTAAAACGAAACCATTCATCTGAACGTAGAGGATTGGAAGAAAGATATTTGGACAATGGATACATTCTCGAACTAACATGCGTAAAGTATCTGCTCAGCAACCGGTGCGTTCGTGTTGTCATTTCAATGGGCCATGGAGACAGGCTGAGTGCAGTCGGAAACCCGATGAGATCCTCAATAATAAGACCATTATGTTGGTGATAATCAGATATGACAGAGTTGGGTTCCACGAAAGATTTTATAGATTTCGAACGGACTTTCGGATCCTCTTTACTTTTCCGGATTGTTTTGCTTAGGGAATCATTCCTCACATGCTTCCGTACGAACTTTCGTATATTGACATCGGTTTTGGTTCCAGAAGGCGATGAATTGACAAACGCGAATTTTTGTTTCGATCCTCCCTCATTGCAGTTGATATTGGTGGTCGATGAAGGATGAGATGGTGTTGAGGATTTGCTTTCCACCTGACTTTCTTTGAAGGAAATTTCGGTGTCTTTCCACCGAATTTTACCTGGGACATTCCAATTTTTATATACATTGATTTTGGGACCATCTGTACTTATAAGCTGTGTGGTATCCGTCATGGTGAGGGATATAAAACTTGAATTCAAGATCTTCAATGCAAAAATGAGGGAATTTCAAAAGATGAGTAATACTCTTGCCCTCTCACGTTGCAAGAAAGAGTATACAAGAGATCACGGTCAAGATGAAGATATTTGAGGTAGAAAACTTTTCACAGGTAACAAAGACAAATTGAAAACATTTCATGCTTATCGAATCCTCAAAATTCCAAATTTGGAAGTTGAAGTTTCCTCTTTGGGTAATTGCCATTCATTTTTGAAGATGCGGGGCATTTCTGTGTAACAAAAACTCACGTAATCAACATTCAACGATTGTTCGTAGAGATATAAGGGTATCGCGAATTGAGGTTTAGAAATCCATACGACAATTGATACGATGTGTTGATTTGGAAGTTTCAATCCGTGATATGGATTAGATATTGGTTATGGAAACCAGTGGTATAAGTAATTGGGTCTCTGTGGCAAGTTTTTGATAAAAGTAGAAAAATCCCCATTCTCAACGACTCTAACATTGGAACCACTGGTTATCACCTACCATCAGCCATTCTACTATAGAATGTAGACCACATCCTAATATCACATCCCAATACCACATCCTCAATCTCAATCCTCCACCTCTCCAACAGAGCCTCACCCTATCAAACTCCAACAAAGCAACTCCCAAACCCCAAATCCTCATCCCAACGCCACTTCCAGCCCTAACACAATCGCTTCTTTCTCCTCCTCCTCCTCCAAGAAAACATGAAACACCCAGTAAATCCTTCCTCCATCCACGAACGAGGACCGAGCTTGTAGCTCCGTCGCTAAATTCCACCGACTCCTGAGATGATTTGCATGCCATATACAGATCTTCCCGTGCGCACGAACAAGCGCCCTCCATCTTGACTCCGATCGAGAAAGAGATGCCCTACCGTCGACAAAAGTGCTGGGAGAGTATGCTTGGGATGTCTGAGAATGGTTTGGATTTTTAAAACCGTGTCATTGGGGTTGTTACCGTGTCCTGAAAATTCCGATTGAATCAGTGAAACGACAAACCAATTCACCAAACATACATTATCCTGTTTGAAATTTTCATTTCACCACATTTCCAGATATTCATTTTTTTGTTTCAACATGTAGGATAATTCAGGCCAAGCATACAGACCCTTTTCTTGGAAGCTTCACAATGATGGGGTCCAAACTATAAGGTTATGGCGGGGCGAATTTCAGACGAAAGTCAATTGTGTGTTTTGTTGGGAGTTTGATATTGATGTTACTTCTGAAGGTTGGGATATTTTCGAATGTGTCAAAACGGATATGGAACATTGGCACCTTGTTTGATTATTTTTTCTGAGCTTAGAATTTTGAATTTTGGAATGTGATCGAGACACTTGTCGCGATAAAAAAGGAGGATTGAGCTGCTCAATAGGACGATATTCGCTCATTCCATGGATGCCATTTGATGTTTTTCTTGGTATCAGCTCATTCCTTCCTACCGTCTAGGATTTTCTGTAGGAATAGATGAATCCAAGAATTGATATCGTTTGATCTGCATATAAAAAAATTCTCTCGAAACCAATCCCACAAGAGATACTTGAGGGGGGGCAGAGTGGGAGTAACATGAAGCGAAAGCACCAGGAAAAAATTGACTTTGGTCCGAAGAAGGGACGAAAAGCGTGATGAGAGATGAGACGGCATTTGATTTGAATTGTTTGACTTTTCATTACAGCTGTGAATTGAAATGGAAATTGAAAATGATACACATCCTTCAATTAGCTCCATCTGCAGCCCATCCCGCTGCCGACTTCGGGAATTTTAGATCAAAGCACGATTTAACAAGTTTTGTAAGGTCTTTCCTGGTAATTTGTGCCCTACCGTACGTATTCAATGACTCTGTTAGAGATCTCACACTCCAAAATCCTCACCCGTCAAGACATTTACTGTATAGACTAGATAATTCGAAAGACCACTATGTGTGAACACAAATCATGTTGTTGGTGAAAGTCAACCATACTTTCGTGGGGTGTCTAAACAAGTCCATTGGCCTAGAGATTTCGTACCATAAGGTCCGTGGAGGTGCAGATTGGCGTCGGAGGAAACTGGAAACATTAACCAACGGTTCCAAGGATTTCCCCTTCATTGTCGCTTAATTTCGCACTTAGCTTTCGTGGTGGTTTGTACTGTATGCTCGTGCACCCATCAAATCAATTCCCCAAGGAGTAATGAAAAATTGGGAAGAAGCTGAGAAACTAATCATCCTTTGCTCGATTGTTATTGGAAGAATGTAATGTCTGCAATCTGTCAAGACTTCCTTCCATGCAGTAGTGAGATAAAAATTTGTTCTTCGTTTCGTCGATGGTCCTGTCGGATTGACCGGCGCTGGCGTAGGCTGCGTATAGCCTAGATAACACTCGACTTTCTCATTTTTAGGTCATGGCTGCTTGGCTAATAGGTTTGAACGCCTAGAAGACGCCTAGAATCAGCTGTATTGAAGTCGTACTACACACCAACACAGTGCATGAGGAAATTCGAAATCTGGAATCTCGTCGACAGTATATTCTGTTTTCATCTCATCTCATCTCATCAGAGAGAGCGATCAAACCAGACATTGCAGACAGATTGAGAAAGCTGAGCTTGGAAAACGAAAAATGGCGGCAAACTCGTAAACTTCCAATGGTTCACTCTGACTTACATACGAATTCTTACATCAATTAATCGATCAAATCATGGTATTTTTTTCTTCTTGCTTGCTCGCGTGCCTGTCGCATTCAAACCCTTGCGAATGAGGGATATAAAATATTTCCGACTTGCCCCCCCCTTCCCCCCTCCAAGACCAGGGTCCCAGTTCCCGATCAGATTCTGACGTATGTCTCTCACTGTACCTACCTGCCTTGTGTAATCACCCCAAAAGAAATTAAAATGCGCTGTTCGTAGAAGCGGATATTCACGTGATCATAACAAAATTTACCTTTCGTCACCCAATTTCGCATCCGCAAATGGCCCATTGAGTAAGTAAAAGAGTTACATTGCGTTTGAACTTTGCAGCATCTAAAATTCTGCAGGGTTCAAATTTGACCGATGAGATGAGGCGAAACCAAACCAAACCAAACGGCCGAGAATGAGGATCAAGCTGCAAGACGAAAACTCTACTGCTTCATGGCCAATATTATTCGACTAGGATTTTTACGGTATGCGAGTAGTCTGACTAAGGATGTAGGAGGAAGTCTCAGGAAGAGCGCTGTTGGCGAGCAGAAACCAAAGACTTGGAGCGTCTGCGACTATCCATGGGGTAGTTTGATACCCCAAGGAAAAATACGGAGTACCCCAAAAAGTAAGGCCCTTTTTCAGAAACAGAACCGAATCCCTGAGTGTCAATTATTTGTCCGAAGTTTATCAAGGTGGGTGAATCTATTCTGGGCAGTGGGCAGATTTGATATGGATGAGAGAGGAATGTTTGACACAGTCTTGATTGGCTGCGCCATGCTAACACAGCTTTGTGACGTTGATAGTGTTTTCTTGGTGCTGCTGGATGGGCACATCTGAACGTAAGGAGGGCCAGTGGTTTCGTAACAATATGATATTAGCACTTGTAGACTCCTGAATACTACGCCGTCAACAACATCACTATTGTTATCGTGTGATATGTCAATCCTACCAACGTGTCTATCTAATTCCTCGAGATGCTACAGATCAGATTGCGTGAAGAAATTAGGAGGAAACTTAAGTTTTCTACCAAGCAAATGCCACGCCAAAGATAAGCATGCCCAGGACTTATTGTAGTGCAACCAGAGAAATGATGTTGTCGCCAGCTTTCGGAGCCAACTCAGGTAACCTGAGGTATTTTTAGTTCCAGGCGCTCAAATGGAACTGACGGTAAGAGTTCCGAGGCTATTGCAATGGGATGAAAGGGATGTAACGGTATCACTACATATTGGATAATTACGTCGTTACCTCGAGCCGACCAGACGACGATTATAATTGCGATGGGGAATTTGAGGGAATTGAACGGCTATTACGGGTATCCTTTCGGTATTTCCATTACCAGTATTCCTCACACCGGTCAAAAGTGGAGGTGCACATGAGAGCGCTTACTGGACGTTGGTCGCGCTGACCTAATTTTCAAAGACATTCCCAGCGACAAGAAGGTTTGGATAACCTTAGCGGAAGGATGAACACTTCCTTCATCCACCCATCCATCGTATTGCCCAAGAGAGATGCATGAGGCTACCGATGCGCAGTTGGTAGGTTCCGTCGCGTCTTTTCCATTTGCAAGTCGTATGCAACGAGGTTCGTATGTTTTGACCGCGTTATGTGTTATTTCTGATTGAATTTTCTCCAGTGTTTCTTGGGGGAAGAAAGGCCGAGTGCCGGTCAGAGGAGGAAGAAGCCCTTTTACCCTGCACCGTACTCAGACGCACTCCTCTTGACGATAACTTAATATTACCCAAAATAGTTGCAGCATCTATGAATTCACATCCAGGTTATTCAGATCACTATCTACTACAGAGTACTCTGTACAGTGCTGTATAATAATAAGTTTGGCCCAAGTAAATAAACCAGTTCGATTGCTCCACCTCCAAAATGTCAATTTCGCAATCAAGCTTTCCCTAAACCATTAGTCTCCATCTTCGCCCAGGTTTCCCTTGTCATTGACATGAGAATTGATGCAAGATCTGATGATCCCAGGATATGCCTCCGTATTGTCTCAATAGCAACCCGCCGAATAGCTGCACGGTTCTGGAGAGGCAACCTGCGATTGCAAGAGTGACCGTCTACTTCGTAAATAAGAAGCCTTTGTAACGTCATATCTAGCGCAATTGTAATCGTGCCGCCATGCCGGGGGAGATGAGAGTGAATGAGTGGAGTGGAAGTTATTGCAGTGCAGTGGTACGGTGAGGGGAGAGGGGTGAGTGAAAGGGGGAAAATCTATGGGCTGGGGATGGAAATATTGGAAGCGAGAAATGAAGGGGAAAAATGAAATTCTAGAAGTGTATCGCTGGTGGGAAAAAAAAAACCCCCCCAGCGTAGCGGCGGTTTCGGCGTAGGCGTGTGGGATAGAATTCGTGGCGTCCATGGCGTTCAACTTGCCCGTATCTGTGTGGGATTTGAGCGTGGGATGTAAGCATTGATTGTTTCTAGTGTGTATCTCCTTTTGAAGAACCTTCCTCGAGCCCAGACAGCGGCGCGGCTCCTCGCACCTACTGAAGTCAAAGTTTCATAACCCATTTCGATAGTTTTTTTACGTTTCTGAAAGAATGGCTTGGACGAAGATCTCCGCTGATGTTGGTTGAGGACAAGACGACTTGATGCTTGGCCAACACAATAGGTGCACCGTGGTGCAAAGGAATATCACCTTGGCAGCAGTCAATACCGAGTAATATTCAATGCCGATGAGATGAGAGTAAGAACCTGAGTAGAATTTCCATGTCTTGGGTCACTTGAACGATTCAGATACTTTTTGAAATCAATTTCGAATTGAGATGTTTTGAAACTAGGTCTCTCCCATATTGATGTTGTGCCGCCCGTCATCAATCCCACGTTGTTTACGTTGTTTTGTTTACGGTTTTACTGTTTGAGTTCGTGAAGGAATGGTATTGTGCAGGGAGTGACTTGATCAAAATCTCGGATTATTGGGATTGTTTGACAGCCACGTAGAAACGGTCAACCCTGGAGAAAACAACAGCAAAGCAGAATGTAATCAAAGCCTTAAATTCATCTTGTGTGTGTAGGTACGGTACAATAGTCTCGAAAATGTGTTACTTCCTTCCTTAGGGCCAAAGAACTGCATGGCTCGAATTCCCCATTTTCAATTTTGCAAATTGCCATCTGCCATCGATGATATCTTCCCCCGTACCCTGCTGTTCGCCTTACTTACGGTCTGCCCGTCCAGACTCCAGACCCAGGTCCCAGCACCCATTCCCATCCCGCAACAGCCATTACCTACCGTATTCTGCCCCAATCCACTATTGCCTGTAAAATGAAGTAAACAAACTGACTGATCCGCCAACCAATGCCAACAGTCAATCATTGGACCGTTCGTTTGGGAGAGGGATAGGGAAGTGTGGGTGAAGATAAGTTGCAAATTACTATTTGCAATTTTGGAATCTCGCGGAGTCTTGGCCAATGAGATAAGCTAGATGGTATAAAATTATGATTTGGGAAATTATGAAGATCGCGAGATGGAGTTCTCATCTTAATTTTTCTCGTAGTTGCAAGTGAGTTGGCAATGGAGAGATGAGATACTGGACAACGACGCGTTCTACTCATTACTCACACAACAGGCAAATCACGCCGAGGGGGCTATAGAAGGGGAAGTATGCTCACCAAAAGTACTTGGCGAAGGCATACCGAGATTTCCCACACTCGCCGCTTATTGAAGAAGAATAAGCAAAAGGGTGAAATCCATGATACGTTATTCCATGCTAGATTCGAAACGCTGAGTAGACGCGGCAATTGTAGGAGGAGGTTGGGAAAGGAGCGAGTTTAGCAGGCAGCTTTCAAGCCTTGACATTGCACAGTCAACAGTGCGCTATCAGCTCTGCAGTCTGTAGGTAGTCATCTCAGCAATGCTGATGAGTACAGTCAATGTGGTACAGTACATGCGTGTATTTACGATACTTTGATGCATGCAGTGATTCTCATGATGCATCTCGATCTTGCAGTAGTAATCGGGAGTACATAACCGTCAGTCACCCAGTCTCTTTTCTTACATCTTTGCGCACCGAAAACCCCTATAGTATCTGCCGAATGATTGCCCCCTCCTCCCCCCCCGGTGTTTTACCCCTTCATGCTCTTCGCCACGACCTACCTACAGTACCTACCTACGTATCAATTGCAATGAATCTGTTGATATAGCGGATTGAATCGTCGCCAACACTACCGGTTTTCATGAACCAGAATGTTATATGCCATACACGATGATATATGATACCGATACCATTTTTCTTGTCATACCTACAGCACCGCTAGCTTGCTGATTGGCCAATTGATAACTTCCTATCTGATAATGAAGAGCCGTCATTCGCTGAGCCGACCAAGCTTCCGACTCACCGATACATTAACCAGGACCTGCACTTGACTTTCGCAGTGACTGAATAGATCTAAACTCAATATAATCCAAGACGTATGGGCAATTACTCCAAGAGGACATATCGGGAGGTGACGCTGAGAGTGAGGCTAGATAATACTACCTAGTCGAGACTAGCCGGCGAGATGATCAATAGTTCACAGGTTAATACTGGATAACTCGGCTTTCTCTTCCCAGGTCGAGAGATCCTAGGTAATTATGAAGGGAAGCGCAAAAAGTTGATCTGTCAAGGATATTAATCGGACATTGAAGGAATCTTGGCCTCATTGGGAGCCACAGTCGAGCGCTAAGCCCAGTCCAGCTAAGAGGCAAGGTTTTTAATGGAGCATTTAGGAAATCATTGGAAAATCCCTCACCAAAAATCCAAATAATCCGCCATAAACTACCATGACGCTAAAAGTAATATCATCCACTTTCTCTATCATTACGGTGACCATTTTAAACTTCAAGCGAGAGAAAACTCTCCTAAGCTCATCGTTGGTTTCTGCCCCAGACCCTCGCCAGATATACCACACTTTCACTCAAGCTTACCCATGGATCTAGTTCAAGGCCCCCCCAGTAGCCTCTTTTCCATTTCACAAGTCATGCCGCCAAAATTGTCTGTGACCACCGTCCGAGGATGACGCCGAAGGGTGAAGAAGAAAAATCAAAAATCGACCTTACCCAATCTTGCTTGGGACTAGGATAGCTGATCACACTCGGTCTCTAAGATATATAATCTGCGACCGTCCCCCAATTGTCACTTCTTTTTTCTTTCCAGTCTACTCAGTTTGCCTTTGTCACGGTGGGAGTTAATAATAATCTTTCCTTCATCCTACCACCCTAAAGCGCAATGGCTCACGGAGACATTGAAAACGGCGCTTCGGCGGCCAGACCAGAGTACGAAGACGAAAAGCTCGGAGAATATGGACAACTCGTACGATATATTTCAAAGTATAAGGGAAGAGAAGAGGGAGAGAAGCTCGCCGCCGAAGAAGAAGAGGCTGCCAACGCTAGCAAGAAGAAGGGCAAGAAGTCCAAGGGCAGTGATGGAGCTGGTTTCGAGACCCCAGATGACTGGCTCAACACCGGTATGCGACAAGGTCTCTCTACTGCCGAGGTCGAGAACCGTCGTAAGAAGACCGGATGGAACGAATTGACCACTGAAAACGAGAGCTTGTTCTGGAAGTTCATCGGTTTCTTCAAAGGTCCTGTGCTCTATGGTAAGTTGACTTCAATTCGCCCTACATGAATTCCACTAATCTCGGCCATAGTTATGGAACTCGCTGTCCTCCTCGCCGCTGGTCTGCGTGATTGGATTGATTTCGGTGTTATTATCGGTATTCTTATGCTTAATGCTGTTGTCGGATGGTATCAAGAAAAACAAGCTGCCGATGTCGTCGCTAGTTTGAAGGGTCAGTCATTGCATCAATTCGCACACTCCCATCTCATTGCTGACCTCAATCATAGGTGACATCGCTTTGAAGGCTACTGTTGTTCGTGATGGTGCTGAAGTTGAAATCTTGGCTCGTGAATTGGTTCCTGGTGACATTGTAAGTTACACCACATCGACATCGCATCAATGCACGATCACATTACTAACAATCTGCCAATAGATCATTATTGAAGATGGACATGTCGTTCCCGCCGATGCTAGAATTATTTGCGCTTATGACGACCCTAACGGATACGAAACTTACCAACAAGAACTCCTCAACCAACGCAGTCACGAAATGAGCGAAAAGGAAGAGGATGATGATGATGACGCACACGGAGGAAAGCACGGTTCCGGCTACGCTCTTCTCGCTATCGATCAATCGGCAATGACTGGTGAATCCCTAGCTGTCGACAAGTACGTCGCTGATGTTATCTACTACACAACTGGTTGCAAGCGTGGAAAGGCCTATGCCGTTGTCACCCACGGTGCTCGCATGTCCTTCGTCGGTCGTACTGCCTCCCTCGTTACTGGTGCTCAAGATCAAGGTCATTTCAAGGCTATCATGAACTCCATCGGTACGTCTTTGTTGGTTTTGGTTGTTGGCTGGATCTTGATCGCCTGGATCGGTGGTTTCTTCCGTCACTTGAAGCTCGCTACCCCAGAACACTCTTCCGTCAACTTGCTCCATTACGCTCTTATCCTCTTGATTGTCGGTGTTCCCGTCGGTCTACCAGTTGTTACCACCACAACTCTTGCTGTCGGTGCCGCTTACCTCGCTGAGGAGAAGGCTATTGTCCAAAAGCTTACCGCTATCGAATCCCTTGCTGGTGTTGATGTTCTCTGCTCTGACAAGACGGGTACTCTCACTGCCAACCAACTGTCCATTCGTGAACCATTCGTCGCTGAGGGTGTCGATGTTAACTGGATGATGGCTGTCGCCGCTCTTGCTTCTTCCCACAACGTCAAGTCTTTGGATCCTATCGATAAAGTTACCATTCTTACTTTGAAGCGTTACCCAGCTGCCCGTAAGATCCTCGAACAAGGATGGAGAACTGAGAACTTCGCTCCTTTCGACCCTGTCTCCAAGCGTATTACTGCTATCGTCGTCAAGGATGGTGTCACCTGGACCTGTGCTAAGGGTGCTCCAAGTGCTATCTTGAGAATGTCTGAATGTTCCGCTGAGGTTGCCGCCATGTACAAGGCTAAGACTTTGGAATTTGCTCGTCGTGGTTTCCGTTCTCTCGGTGTTGCTGTTAAGGAAGGTAACGGACCATGGCAATTACTTGGTATGCTTCCTATGTTCGACCCTCCCCGTGAGGATACCGCTGCCACCATCGCCGAAGCTCAAGTTCTTGGTCTTTCCGTTAAGATGTTGACTGGTGACGCTATTGCAATTGCCAAGGAAACTTGCAAGATGTTGGCTCTCGGTACCAAGGTTTACAACTCTGACAAACTCATTCACGGTGGTCTTACTGGTACTACTCAACACGACTTGGTCGAGCGCGCCGATGGTTTCGCTGAAGTTTTCCCTGAGCACAAGTACCAAGTCGTCGAGATGTTGCAACAACGTGGACATTTGACCGCTATGACTGGTGATGGTGTTAACGACGCTCCTTCCCTCAAGAAATCTGACTGTGGTATTGCTGTCGAGGGTGCTACTGAAGCCGCTCAAGCCGCCGCTGATATCGTTTTCCTCGCCCCTGGTCTCAACACTATTGTCTCCGCCATTAAGATCGCCCGTCAAATTTTCCAACGTATGAAGGCTTATATTCAATACCGTATTGCTCTCTGTCTCCATTTGGAAATCTACTTGGTCACCTCCATGGTTATCATCAACGAGACTATCCGTGTCGAGCTCATTGTTTTCCTCGCTCTTTTTGCTGATTTGGCTACCATCGCTGTTGCTTATGACAATGCTCACTTTGAGCAACGCCCTGTCGAATGGCAATTGCCAAAGATCTGGATTATCTCTGTCGTCCTCGGTGTTCTGCTTGCTCTCGGTACCTGGGTCATGCGTGGTGCTCTCTTCGTACCAAACGGTGGTTTCATCGAGAACTTTGGATCCATCCAAGGTATGCTCTTCTTGGAAGTCTCCCTCACTGAGAACTGGCTCATCTTCGTCACCCGTGGTGGTAACACCTGGCCATCGTGGCAATTGGTTATTGCCATCTTCATTGTCGATGTCATTGCTACTCTCTTCTGTGTCTTCGGTTGGTTGTGTGGTGGAGCTGGTGAGCCATCTGACCCAGTTACCCGCAACGTTCTCCTTTCCCAGAACGGTCACACTTCTATCGTCACTGTTGTCATCGTTTGGGGTTACTCCATCGGTGTCACCATTGTCACTGCCATTGTCTACTTCTTGTTGAACCAATGGTCTTGGTTGGACAACCTTGGACGTGCCAGACGCAGTCACGCTGACACCCAAATGGAGAACATTATCGCTCATCTCTCCAAGGTTGCTCTTGAACACTCCCAAGTTGACGGTGTCCACCGTTACCACATTGTTCAAAAGCAAGCCGAGGTTGAGGATGACGATTAGATTATCTCACCCCTAATTTGAGCACTTCTCTCTTGCATAGACAAGACAGATGAAAAGTAAAAAAATATATCTAAAAGTCACAAAAAATCTGGAAATTTCACATGGAGAATATGGAGAAAGACAGGCGTTCCTAATATCCCCTCGTCATCCTCAATTCGGCAATGTCATTATGGTTGCGAAACATCTTGTCAACATGGTTTGTCAGTACAGAGCTGCAAACGTTTCGGCTTCACATTGACTTGTCGTTATACACCTTTAATTGTCGCCTCACCTTAATCCATACTTTTTACACCTTATAGACCTTTATTACGAGATGCGAGATTTTCAATTATGTTTTATGTTTTATGTTTGAATAGTACCTATAGATGGGTAAATGGGTTGGGATATTCCAGGGATGTGTTTATGTCACAGGAGCAGAAGAGGATGATTGGATGTATATACTGAGAAATGGAACGACTTCATTACAATAATTTGATTTGTGCCTGTGTGCTAAATTTTGTGAATTGTGACTTTGAATATAATTGTGCCAGATTTTTCTGCTTCTTGATTGCTTTGACCATGAATTAGATGCGAAACCTATCTGCCGTTTTCCAGCGCCCTTTTTCTCCTTTTGCAATTCTGAGGCTCTATCCATTTCACTCCCTATTCCTTTACGTTTCATTTCCGTTCCCTTCTAGGCTCTCTCCTTGGTACAGATCTTCACTCTTCACTCATAACCTTCCAAGGTATGTCAAAGCTACCCATTTATTAACCAATAGTTCGTACAGCCAACCCCCAAATCAACATAGATTTACTTCATTCCTTTATTATTTAAATTATTATTATCATTTTCAACATCTCTTTACCTTGTAGTCTACCGTACAAGCTCCAATACCAAAAGGAAGATAATCCAATCTCCACAATTTGAAATTTCCTCACGGATTTGGTGCCTGGTTTATCCCATCTTGAACTTAGTCGACAGATTGAGACCCGCTGGTTCGCGGACGCTTGAATTGGAGATGGGTGATTAAGGCAGGTACAAAATTACTTGCTGTATGTGTGGGTAATTTAATAGCAGAGGACCTGGCCATTTGCAGGAACCGTGGTGAATTCTGGCAGGGAAATATTACGATGTCACCCGGGAAACAGGAGGGATGCTACGATAACCAGGGGAGGGCCTAGATTGACAGGGGATTCTGCCTGCTGGGCTAGCGATATGGGGGATTCCATTGTGATTGTTGTACGGAGTAGCCAATGGTGTATCCATAGCGTGCCTTGAAAATTGGAGCGAGTGTACGAAAGTACAAGCGTGAAGGAGGAAAAGGAATGGTCCACAGCGGAGATGGCTGCGTTTTCTGGATGGGGGGCTTGCTCGTTTGTGCCTTCTTTGCTCCTGCTGGTAGAGAAGCTCGAGGTTAATGCGCGTAGCTATGGTGGGGCAGAGATTGTTTGCTTCCGTGCGAGTGTTTGGGGGGAAGGAGCTTGTGAGGGTCTGTCTCTTCAAAAGTTCGAATATTATTGCTGTAGTTGGTGTTCATCGCGACCATGTCTTCCTCTGTCTGTGATGGGTGGAAGATCTTCGGAGAATTTTTGTAAATACGATACAGTACCAATGCGCAACATGCTTTAATTATGGCTGAATGGGGGTTTATACGCTCGCTCGCTCGTAGCTACGACAACGACAACGACAACGACAGCGACAGAGAGTGCGAATGCGAGTGCGAGCGGTGAATGGTTGCAATGGATGGCACGGGGACAAATGGTTTCTGCCATTGCCACACGTTTTCGGTTCCCATAGTCATCCATCCACCGCTCCTGGACTCGAACTCCATCGATAAAACGTGCTCCACCGCACCAATGAATGCAATCGGCCCGCGCCCGCTATTCTTTCTCATGCTCCACGCCGAGGAACTTGAGAGATTTTCCTTTTGATGCTCCGTCCACATCTCGATTCCCCATCCGCATCTTGTATTTCCTCGGTCGGGGTCTCCACTCACCACTCCGTACTAGAAGATAATTTGGAAGAAGTTGGAAATGTGGAGGATGGAGAATGGAGAATGGAGAATGGAGAATGTAGGAATCTGGGCACGGGGAAACTTTCGTGGCAGCGTGGATAGAATGCGTGGAGCCCGAATCTAACCGCAAGCTGTGGCATTATTGAGAATCATTATCCGCTATTCTCCCAATGGGCGGATCGCAATACCGATGCGGGATAAGTATAAGGTTAATATGTCTTACTTTGTCGCTATCGATATTGATACGATGATAGGGACGGTGAGTATCGATATGCGATGGATAGGGGAAATTGGATGACGATGCATTTCGTTGTCGATGGTGAGAAAACAAGGGGAAGGAGGTTGGGGAATTCTCTTGGCATGTTGGGGGCCATTTCCCACAGTATACAGAGTATGTCGTGGCATCAAAGCCTCACCGTCTCGCAATACGTGCATTGACTTGCAAAATTACTCCTTTTCACTTATGCTACATTGGTTATGAAAATGGATTAATGAATGAACAAGTCACCACAAATGTATATGCAACTAATTGGAACGACCAAAGTTCACAATTGCGAAGTCAAGGCTCAACTCTGGAGAATAAGGAAATAGTCTTGAGATTCATGAAATGACAATTCAGGGACAAACTTGGGTACGGGAGATTCTGCTTTGGTGAATTTGCGAGTGCCGATTCGCATGAAAGGGTGAACGTTTGAGTGCTCGGCCGCCAAGTACGCCATCATTCAATGCTACCAAGACCCCAAGACTCTTGGAGAAAGCGATTAAGAATGATAGATTGAAGGTTCCCGGCAACGATTTTCTCATCGCCGTGTCACATCAAAGGTACCAGCGAGTACCGCGTGGTAAAGGCACTTGGCGGTACGTTGATTAGCTGGGAAAATGTGTATCTAATATCGAGAAATGTCGCCTTCCGGATTCTGGGCTTCAAGAAGCCGTTTAGCTGAGTCAATAAACGACTTTGGCTTTGTATTGTACTTGGCAAGCGACTTCATAGATAAAGTGCAGAATGTGGAGCGTAAGCTTCTGCTGGCTTGAAGTGTGTGACCCGAGGTATTGTGCGATTTATTAATTGCACGATCTGGAATTCATTATTTTGTGTCTCATTGAGAATCTGCCTGGGCTTGTGTTTATTGCTGTTTGCACTGGCCAAGGCTTGGTATTCGATAACGAGTATGTAGGACTACGGAATTGGAGAAAGTGTTGCACTGAACATTCAGCCGGTAGGTCATTCGCAGGCTTTGAATGAAAGCTGAACTGTGGTTGGGAGGGTGGAATAAGGGAATTTTTCAGTGCATTGTTGTCTTCGACCTTTGCGAGTGCTGTAACAATCACGGTTCGAGATAATTGAAGCAGTGCGTGGGAATGGAAGTTACACAGTCTTTGAGTTTGTGGTCGCTGGACTCTGAATCTTCTTTCAGCTTCGAGGAAAATATTGCAAGTGTGATGTTTTCGGCAAATGTTGGTTTTGTCATACCTGCAAATGATTTGTCAAAGTTTTTTTCTACTGTCAACGATGGCCACAAATGTTTCAGGTGGAATTGGATAATCGATTATTGATGTCCTGATTTAATATAGACATTCAAATGGTATGGTAAGGAATTGTATGGCTTATGTGCCAGGCGTCAGTTTCAGCCATGGTGCCCGTTTCTTAATGCATTTATCATCAGGTAGAGAGAAGAATTTCGTACTTTTATCGGCTCGTGGAAAGCGAGTGCATTTGATGTCATGGGATTTTTACGGATTATCATATCCGGACGGCTCAGATGGAAGTTTCCTCAACACGCTAGGCTCGTTATGAGATGAACCAAGCTCACTCTTCTGATGGCTACTCGGAGTTGATGTCGGGAGACTGATATTCGGTGTGCTCTGATCCGCTTTTAGAATTCAAGTACTCGCCGTCCGCGTTCTGAGAAGATCAATCTCCCTCGAGACTTTCATTCGAAAATGGAGCGATATCGTAATGCGATGTAATGATACATGCAAAATGAATGAGAGAGCTTCCGAATATATACTAGAATCATTCAGTTGTGATCAAAAGATACGAATACATGCTCTAGCTCTGTTGAATACACAAGATTGTAGGTTCAAAAGCTTCAATCTTCTCATCTCCACGAGCATCGACAACAACTGATGAGTACCCAAGTGGGCTCTAAAATGTGGCACTCTCATTTCTTGGGATGAAAATATCAGTGCAAATGTTTAAATAGGTTACCGGGGATACACAAGCTATATCTCGAATAGTCTGAAAGATGATACTATAGTTAATATACTTCCAATGTTTAGTGAGGAAATATGATCCATTGTGCTTTGTACGATAGTGCGTGTGGTCTAGTGGAGTTGAATTTATGAGAACAGAAGAAAGGGGTAGCGCAGCAAGAATATAGGATGATAGATTGGCATGGAAATTATGGTGGCATATGATCTGGAGACTAGCTTCTACACTCCCTCTGGATCTCCTCGCCCCAACCAATCGAATCTCTGATGGTTTTCCATTTCTGTGCATCCACTCCCATCCATTCTGCCACATGATAAGCAAGTGAACGACGCTTCCACGTTGTCTTCTACCGATTCCCATTCTTCTCAAATCGTTCAACTGATGCGCTGTCGGTAATTTCATCACTGGTTGTTGATAAGCAGCTGCTATGTAAGCAAGTAGCTCGGTCCACTAGTGGGTGTATAGATTGACGGGACACATCCTAACTTTCAAAAAATTTGACAAATTCATTCTTCAAATGTTTGATATTAAAATTTATGCTTTAATTGTTTCATCTCGAATGAACAATCTTAATAATTCTTAAAATATAAAATTGGATATATCAAGAGATATCTACAAGTCCATTTTTGGAGTGTCCCGTCAGTCTGTACACCCACTAGTGGTCTCTGAATAACTCAAGATGCCATCGTCGAAATCGAAAAGCTCATAAAAGACATCTCTAGTTAGCCCTCGCCAATCCTCGTCCCGGTTGGCCTTCATACGCGAAACACCTTCGCTGGAATTCACTGCCACAAGAAAGGAGTCGCCATTTACACGGATAAGGGCGTCTACAGTGCGGAATTCTACAGTGATTATTAGTTAAAGATGTTAATGATCAAATGTAATACGAATACGTACTTTGATAGGTGTTGGTTTGAGAAGGATACGGAAGACGTAGCACCCACGAATTTGTAGGCCCTAAATGTCTATATTGGATTCTCTCTGAAGAGCTAGCTATGTACAGGAAGTTGTTGGGCCTTATATAGGCGCTACGGAAAGAGCTGGTACCATCCTCACTTTTGATTATACAATCAACATCTAAATCAATCAGAATGCTTTTAATGATTGTTTGTTAGATTGCTTGAGCATGGATTGTTTCATGTGATTTTGAGAGTTAGCCAGATCGTCGGAGAATCGAGTGGGTGTGGATTGTGTTCCGAAATGCTTTTCACTATTATCTACAGTATTTTGTACTAACATAGTAGTTTTAGGCACAAGACAATACACACAATATCAATCAATGCATGAAATTGATTATGAAGACGTTATAATCACCATCGAGGTGATACCTACAATTTTTTCATAATAATGCAAAGTCAAGTAAGCGAATACTGTTTTGTTAAGAATATCCTGGGGAAGGAGAAATATATCATTTATAAACACGACTAGCGAATCTCTTCCTCATATTTCAGCAGCTTCTTACTCTTCGTATTTAGAACAGAATCATAAGAATACTCAGTACCATATCTCAAACAAGTGTCGAGTGACTGCAAATGGCTTGGTATTCGGTGGTTGGTTTGCCGTACCGTCGGATCGAATGCACATCATCATCATCTCTCGCATTGGGCTTGAAGGGTGGTGCTTAGAGGCACGGCAATAGAAGTCGAGGGAGTAGAATTATGTATTGGGAAATAATCATAATGATTATAGTTATAGTGGTCCTCATATCTAGACATTTCCCTCATTTTAGTAATAGTATTGAATGGATTCACTATCCTTACATATACTAGTTCAGTATTCGTCATCAGGAGATATATCTTCTCTTAATTCCATATTCTTATTACAGCAGTTATTACAATGTAAGCCTCCGTAAACATACAATAAAGAGTCTTTCGCGAAACTAAGAGGAGAGGTAGGGATAAATGGTTCGGTTCTCTTACAGATCAATGGGAATGGGAATTAAGGATTTCTGATTTGGAATGGACACTTTTGAGAGTTGGTATCTTGAGGGAACTTGGGGGGATCTTGGAGAGTTGTAGCTACAGAGCTGCGGGAAAAGATGCTGGAGGGGGTAGAGGTGCTGGGTAGCTTGAACTGAGAAAGGTGTTGGGTTCAAGCGAGCTTTGAGGAATACTTGTTGCAATACGCATACACAATGTGACATAACATTGTAGCACGCATCCTCTTTCCAAGAAAAGTCAAAGTGCGGCGCAACTTTGACCGCTCATAATTCGGTAGCGACAAAGCAGTGAATCTGTTTTATTCGATACCTACCGAAAGATGTCGTGAGGCTTGAGATTTTTGCAACCGTCCACCCAACCTCAGAATTACGTGTGCGAGTGCTAGTACTAATTTCCCATCGATGGAATCATTTTGCATCATTTTACATCTATCCACATGCTACCAATAACACTATCTCAATCTCAATCTCCCATCCTCTCAATAGCTGACGCCTGAACAGTTTTCATATCATCAACTATTGCTCTCTCTCGCTTCGGCAATTTCTTGTTCGCCTTTCGGGCTTCCGCTGCACCGCTCTTCCCTCCTGCTCTTCTTTCACGCCCTCTCCCTCTTTCCTCGTCCGCATCTGCATCACTGTCTTCTCCCTCTTCGGCTTGATATCCTGTGTCTTGTGCGTCTTGGACATCCTGTCTGTCTTTTCCTTGTCGCTCTGGCACTTCATTCGTCATTGCATCTCTGCTTCCATCATCATCATCATCATCATCATCCCCCTCATCCTCCCCTTCCTCCTCCTCCTCCTCCTCCGATTCCCTCTCTGGCATCTCAACCAGCCTCGGATCCCTATGATTCTCAACCCACTCCCTCAAATATTCCTCCACATGTCTTTCAAAAAACATCCGACCACCAGGTTGATCTCTCGCCGGAAATTCCTCGTTCATTTTCTTGGTGAGAAACTTTCTACTGGTTCTACTGTCTCTCCAATATCTCCCTTCATCGTATCTTTCTTGAAGTAATTGCTGGAGACGGGTTTTTTCGGCTTGCGTCCACATTCTAAATGGGTTTTTACGTGGCATGTTGAGCTGAGTAGGGGGGTGCTGTGAGGAGTTACTGTGAGGAGCTACTGTGATATGTGATTGAAGGGCAAGTAGATGATGAGATGGTGAGCTTTCACAGCGATAATAATTTGGTTGAAGTAGTGATGGCAGTATAAAGAGAACTCTACGAATAAGCTGGAAAACGGGCTGGCCTACCAGATGATAGTGGAGAGTTCTCTATTCATTTCAGATATGCATTGTAGTATTCTTTGGACCAAAGTACCGCCATTCTTTGAGGGATTTTGGATAATGTGTAATGAATCAGCTAATTTATATAATGATACTTTGAACCCCCATTTCTGAATGTTGGAGGATTGAGTTGAGTCGATTTCAGGGTTTCTCTTTATTAAGCAATAGACTTGGTGTACATTGATCAAAGAAGTGATTAGAACGAGGGTATTGAGAGGAGGGGTTGGAGAATGACATTAAGATGAGAGAGAACTCGAACTCTCTTTCCTGTGGATTGATCGTCTTTATCTTTCGAACTAGATTGGATATTAGAATCATACTTGATTGAATATTATAGCTCTTAGTCCAGTTCATTTCTCGAACTATACAGCTAATACTAGGAATGGAAACTTGAGGTCTATTCAAACAACACCGAACCCTCCCTTGCTCATCTTTTCATCTCATACATCTCCATCATTTCCAAATCTTTCATGAGGCTCACTAGACGAATGTCCTTACAAATGGAGTTTTGCAGAAGACAAATCTCTTAAGATATCAACGAAACACGAGCGCAATATTTCATCACATCGGTGGACTTCGATGACATGTCTCGAGAACTTATCACTCCTTGAGTGAGCTTATAGATTCTTTCTAGTAGTAAGATGACAGTGAAATTACGAGAGCTGGAAGCTCCAATTATCACTAGGTTTCCTCCATATTTTGCTTCGAGAATGAGATATTCGGGAGAAGTGTTTCCGGACGTGAAGAGTGGTGGAAAAGTAGGGATTGGACAAAAGTCTCGTATCACCAGATATCGCCATTACTAGAGATCTTATCTGCTCCCAAAATTACTGTAAGATCACTATATCCAGTATCCTTAAGTATTTCTATCCTCGCTGCTGTTATCTATCAAAATAACCACTATTACGAGCGCCAAGTCTCCTACTTCCCATCTTTTGAGTACCACTAACCCGATACAGAAGTATCTATCCCCGCCTCTATTTTCTGAAAGGAAACCCTCATAGAACGTTTTAATAAAGATTGTATAAACTTAGTGAATAACTTTAATTCAATATTACTATATAATAGTACTAAGCGAACACGAGAGAAATTAGCTTTTTCTAACAGACTTCATATAAGGATTATTATTCCCTGTATATAGCTAGCTTTTTAGTTAGAATACAATATCAAAATTTAGTATCTACCATCGTAGATGCTCTATTATCTGTATCCTTTTCAAACCAATAAAGATCTTATACTCAAGAATGAGAACTACCCGAGTATTTATACGAATACATGGGAAACCAAGCGACTATTAAGTAATCTAATAAAGATTCAATTTAAAAGGAATGAGTATCACGAGCTATATCAGAAACCAACCAGTAAAAAATAATTTAAATAATTCAAACCTTCTACACTTTAACTCTTTCCCCGGATCAAAATTTCGTATAATATTTATATATATAAATATCATATATTATATAACATGGTTTATTAGCATATAGATTATATTATTATATGAACTACTTTATTTTCTATATAAAATTCGTCTGTATGTAATCATATACTTTCTTTATTAGTCAATAGAATTTTCTAAAAACTTCTTATATAAAACCTAATTTTTTAATTATTTCAAAAATTAATTTTTTTTTTAAATTTCAATTATTATTACAGTTATTAAAGAAAAAGAGTTTTTGTACCATAAAGTATAACAATTTCAAGCTAAAATAAATTATTTAGAAAAAAACCTAAATCTTATAAATGTTCTATTTTTATTATAACTTTTTACAATTTTTTCTTTTAAAAATAATGATTAATTATTAAAATGAAAATATTAAGAAAACCTTGATTTTGATACATTTTCAAAGTAGTCTATATAGTGATATGACTCACATGCTGATGAACCACGTTATTACACATTACATATTCATCATCTCTTCTCCTCTCCCTCTTTCCTATACAAATCACTATACTACCAGTCTACCACGAGAATATATCGATCGATTCGAGGAAATCAATTCACAGTTCTCTATGTCTCTGTTAATAAAACTCTCGCTAAAAATTACTTTACTCGAATTCCAATCTCCGACTCCAACCCCAATAAGTCATTCTATACTCCAAAAATCCCAATCCCAATTCCAATCTCAATTCTCAATCTCAAATCATACCTAAACCATCCCACTCCACCTCTATACAAGCGAAAAACACAGGCGGAAATTAACCTCGTTGAGTCTATCTATTTCAAAATCACCTATTTATTAAATGCTAATTCAATTCAAAATAAATATCGAATTCTGAAAAGACCAAATAATAATTCAACTTTTCTTCGTATTAATATTAATTATTTTCATTCTTTAATATACTTAATTTCTTAACTAGCTTTTAAAACATGAATTTATAGTCTTACAATCTTTTTATTGAAAATAATTAAAAATGAAATTCTAACTTTATTAATATAGCTTCAAAATGAAAAAATATCAATTAACTTAATTATTCTTTAAAATTTAAAGCAATTCAAAATTATATTAATAAATTAATAAGTAATTTAAAATAATTTACTATATTAATAATCTTTATAATTAGTTTTCAAATAAACCTTTTGATTTTCAAATTTTTATCCTCAAATTTCTATTTTAATTAATATAATTTAAAATGAAATAAAAATAAAATAAATGATAATACTAATTATTCCACTATTCTTTATTATATAATATTATTCTTATTTAAATCGAAGCTTAATTAATAAAATTATTATAAATTCAAATATTCAAATATAATAATTAGATGTTTATAATAAAATATAAAAAGGTTATGTTTTGTAAGCTAATTAAGAAATTGAGTATATTATATCGAAAAGAAATTAGAATTATTAAAGTTCACTGGTGGTTAATTGCCGCTTGTTATTTCGCTGATGTTAGAGCTCACTACACCCACTCCACTCCAGTATCGTAACCAAACAACCCCTTCATTCAATCCAATCCACCATTTCCAATTCCCAATAGATACACCACCTAGCACATCCAAAAACTCTCACCGCATCCAAAACCCAAAACATTATCACTCTCCAACTCACCTCCTCCCCTCACCCTCATTACAAAACCTCCCCCGCCACCTCAAGAACACCCTCGGAAACAAAAAGAAGACAATAGTCCCATAATTAAGAGATAGGTATTGAACCACACCCGATTTGAACGGATAACCTTTCGATCTGGAGTCGAACGCGCTACCGTTGCGCCAGCGGTCCTTAATCGTGTGACTATTGTTGTGGAAGGCATTGTTTGAGTATATATAGCTTTAGGTTAGATTGAGTTTTGTGGGGGAGAGGGGAAGGAAGGGGGAGTTTACTGGCTGGGGTTATGTTTCCTTTGTTCCGATTAGATTGAGTACTGAAATAGGTATTTTTTTGGTTTTTTGGATTTATTTTTTAGTGAATGATGAATAATCATTGGAGAAAGATTTGGTATTTTGTAAGAATCACATAATTGATTAAATGAAATGTCTAGGTAGGAATCAAACAATACAATGCGAGAGTGAAAAATACTAGATAAACATATAAGAAAAGCGGTTTTCGAGGATCTTTGAGCTCGCCGGAGAAGTGGTTTGATCAACGTCAGATCTCGAGTTGTGTCTATTCGTCTATATTTGCAAATTTACAGCGTAGAACGTAGCATTTCCAAAAAAGCCAGTATATACAATCAGATCAATACCAAGGTATTAAAGGTTGGATAATATTTCAAGATTCAGCGTTACACTACCAGAGCGAATGATTGTGGTCGAGAAACAAAATCCTCCTTACCCATCCTACTCAGTCTCAACACACACATCTGCATCGCAATTCTCGCTATCTTCCATGAAAATACCACCAAAGATCAATCCCTCATTGATACCACTTTCCTGGAATCCATTCTTAGACACATCTGCACCAGCGGCGAAATCTGTTGGCTTTTTCAATAAACCGAAGTGATATTGTCCTTGTCCAGAAATATCATTGGTTAAAGCTTTAGTCACTGACTTAAGAGCCTTGGAGGAGGTAGAGTAGAATACTTGGGTTGTGCTGATTCAAGGTTAGCTGGGGATATTTACTGGAAACAAGAGAGGAAAACAAACTTTGCGGTAAAGTCCAATTTCAAACCAAAATTGTGCCATCCATCGGTAAAAGCAGTGGTGAAAAGTTCGGTTGCTCCCTCATTCACGTTTCCGACGACTCTCAAAACATTGGAATCTGTGTTGTTTGTGCCCAAAATGGTACCTGTCTTCAACACAAATTGATTGGTGCTGAAATCTGCACTTTCGAGGAAAGCAATTTGATACTCGTGACTGAGATTCAATGGACGAGAGGCATCCTTCATGATGGAGAAATGAAGAGTTTTAATGCCTGTGGTGGAAGCATCACTACCGTTATTGGATAATGGCAACAATTCGGCACGACGAAATCCAACTTGTACATTGGTTGATGAGGGAGCAAAGATGGAGGCATCAGAGAGGGTGACCTCGAAGGGTGTAGTTGAGTTTCCATCATACTGAGAGATTGTCAGGCGTGGATACAGTATAGCACCCAAGATGGCTTACCAAAGAAGTAGGAATATCAGTTGGGAATTTGATAATTTGGCTCCATGTGAGATCTAGAAATGTTAGAAGAAGAGCTTTACAGGAAGGAATCAAACCTACTGGCACCAAAGTTGTAACTGGGATTGTAGAGACTTGTATTGGAGTTATCAAATGCAGTTGGCGTGGTGCCTACTGGTACACGTCCTTCAAATTGAAGAGGACAATCTTGCGCCTGGGCTACAGAAGCGAGAGTCAACAATGACAATCCGAGAAATGAGTGAAGCGACATGGTTGATGGAGAAATTTGTAAAGGAATGTGATGAGAAAAGAATGTATTGATATTTGATAACGTGTTAAAAAGAATGGAATTGACAAAAAGTCACACAGCGATACTTTGGATGAAAGGGTACGTGGTCCGAATAGCGCAGTTCATATAGGGATATATATATATAGTCGGTCTACTTTACGACTCCACGCGATTCCTTATCTCATCTATTATGGTTCGTTCCATAAAGCTACGCCAAAGAAGTTGAATTTACCTTACTATTAAAGTTTCCTCAAGTAGATTATGGCCTGGTAGACGAGATCCTTCATTATTTCGGATCGCATAACATGAAGCGCAAATTGACACAAGAAGAGCCATAAGAACTGCTTTCCAAGCGCCAACCATGAAAATTGCGGTGAAAATAATGGGTTTATGCCGGTCTATAAATTGAAAATCCGGAGACCAAGAGACAAACCCGTTTCAAGAAAACTTTAATTGGACTTGTAATTTCGGATGGTTCGGTTCATGGTAAAGTTGCACAGTCTCTTGTTACAGTTTGGTGAATGTTTTATTAGTCTTTCAGATTGTAGAAAGTATTCCAGCGGGAATGAACTTTTAATTCAAGAGCTGAAGATATGGAACTCTTCTAGAACTACCATGAGGAGGAGTGCAACAAGCAGATGATGGGTTCTCAAGGGTCTGGGCCCCTAGGATCTGCAGATCTAGATCAGTCGTGGATAGTATCAATTTAGAAGAAATCAAACATATAAGCAAGAAGCAGCAATTAACATGTTACATTTCAGCCCCAATATACGAGCTTTCGAAGTGCATTATAATCATATCAGATCATAAGTAGAGACGAAGTACATTGGGCACAGAATCGGAAGCCGGCGTATCTGATGATCCGAATCGTGGGGTAACCTTAGGTTAATTACAGTATTAACTTTACATTACGTAGTGGCAGGAGCTGCCTTTCGAGCTCTCAATGTTTCCTTCATTTATTAATACCTTCATCAAACAAACCAATCTCTAGAAATTTCCAGTTACTCCAAACCACCAAGTAAAAATGGCGGAAGCAACAGATAATCCAGATGTTCCCTCGAACAAGAAGGCTTTCATTCCCTTGGGTACCGCTTCCCTCATTCCTCCTCTGCATCCCTCTCCAAGCTAACCAAATATCTCCTCCCCTAGAAAACAACCCCGAAGTAATGTCCTCTCTGCTCCACAAACTCGGTCTCTCCACCACTCTTTCTTTCCACGACGTATTTTCCATCGAAGATCCCTCTCTCCTCTCCTTTATCCCTCGTCCCGCACTCGCCCTCTTACTCGTTTTCCCCGTCTCAAAAAGCTACGAGGCATTCCGCTACTCAGAGGATAAAGACCGCGAAGATTATACAGGAAAGGGAGAGAGTGAACCAGTTATTTGGTATAAACAGACTATCAGGAATGCGTGTGGATTGATTGGCCTTTTACACGCCGTGAGCAATGGTGCTGCGAGGGGTTTTGTTGGTATGTTTTATTCTACTCTCCCCCTCCCTTCTCCCTCTTCTCATATCTGTCAAACGTAAATGTCTGACACAATTTCCCTCTTTTGCAGAACAAGACTCTGCTCTCGACAAACTAATTAAAGATGCCATTCCTCTCGCTGCAATCGATCGCGCAGATCTCCTCTACAATTCCCAAGCTCTCGAATCCGCCCATCAAAACGCCGCAACACAAGGACAATCCTCTACACCTAATGCCGAAGATGACATCGATTTACACTACGTATGCTTCGTCAAAGATGAGAAGAACAATCTGTGGGAAATGGATGGAAGGAGAAGAGGTCCACTTGAGTTGGGATCATTGGGAGAGGATGAGGATGTTCTGGGTGAAAAGGCGTTGGACTGGGGCGTAAGGAAATTTTTGAAGAGAGAAGAGAAAAATGGTGCGGAATTGAGGTTTAGCTTGATTGCCTTGGCACCAAGTCTTGACTAAAATGGGTTGGCTACGATTATGATTATCATGAACTATTTTGAAGGGACCGGAAGAAAATATTGGCGTTGCATTACATTATATGAGCAGTCACAGAACAGCTGAATCTGGGTGTCAAACCATTACACCCATTTTGAAAGGTATCTAAAATTATTGACTTTAGATACCATGACATGTCTAGAATTTTTAACGCGATGTCTTTATCCAAGGACTAAATCCCCTCATCTCACCTCTATTGATGTATCTGATATCACAAAATCTTTCAAGTGCGAAGTCATCCCATGTATTCAAATCCATTCAAGCCCCTTAAATCACAATATCTCGTTTATGTAGTCGTTCTACGACCAAGAAATGCTATGAATCGTTAGCAGGTGTACCAAAACCAGTTGTAAAGATCGCAAACTTACTAAAGCATAATTCCAGCACCGGCGCTCATAGCCATGAATTGCTTGAGGGTCTTCGTCAATTCTAGACCCCTATCCTTTCCAGTCTCCAACAATTCCGGAATAACAGCTACAGTTCCCACATACAAAAATGTTCCAGCAGTAAATGGCAACAACATGTCACCCCATTCCAAACTTGTACCCATGAGACCGTCAAATCTGCCAATACCGCCTTCATCTGTGCTAGAACCATATTCTTGAATCATGATGCCGATGAGTGTGCCGAGGAGAGCTCCAAGTGCGGTTACGAATTGTGCCCCCATGGCTGCACGTTTGGAGAAACCGGATTGGATTAGGAGAGCAAAATCACCGACTTCGTGGGGAATCTCGTGGAAGAATACTGCGACGGTTGTTGTTGCGCCAATTGTTGGAGATGCATAGAAGGAAGAGGACATGGCGAGACCGTCAGTAATATTGTGAGTGAAATCAGCGCTGTCATAGAATTAGCAGTGGTTCTAGTATTCTTCTGCTAAAAACGTACATGAGATTAAGATATCCGGCAAGCTTGACACTAGAGTTGATCTCCTTTTCAGTCTTCTCAACCTCAACAATTGACTTTCCGCTATCCTTCTTTCTTGATCTAGTACTCTTGGCAGGTGTACCATCCAAATTGCTCGAAATAGCAGAAGTTTCCTTCTCGCTCTCATGACCATGACTATGCGAGTGTTCGTGGCCTTGTCCACCAGTAGCAATTCTCAATCCTTTATCCATAGCAACAAATGTAACGAATCCAACCATAATCGCAACTCCCAACAGTAAATTGCGGTTTGGTTCAACCAACACGAAGCGCACATTTTCATGGGCGTCCTCGCCAAGGAAGATTTCAGGAAGAAGATGGAACAATGTATCACCCAAAAGACCACCAACTGCAAATGCGACCATTACGGAAAGAGAAGAAGGATCGATATTCGGTGGACATAATGCGAGGAGAAAATTGGGGGGTCCAGAGATGTAAAGGGTTGCGAGAAGTGCATTGACAGCGGGGGTGGAAGGGAAAAGAACTGCGAATATGCGGGAAGTAAGAGTCGAAGTAATTGGAGATGTGACTTGTTTATATGCATTGAGATCTTGCACAAGAGGACATTGCTATCGAGTAACACTGGTTAGATGGGGCCCAGGAAGATTATCGTGAGAACTTACTTGAAGCTGTTCCTCGATTTCAGGCAAGCTCATGCTCGCAACAGATGTGGCATGGCCTTGAGCATATACGCATACAATTGCAATTGAAAGCAAAAGAGCAACACGACGAGGACTAAAGAACGACATTTTGGTTTGGGAAAATGTATGTTGGGAGGAGAAGAAAGAAAGAGGGACAGTCCAGCTTTGACAGAGAGATTATCAGATTATCAGTATGTAATGATATGATATCGGACGGCGTTTAGCGAGGTGGAGCCTCTATTTTTTTGAGCCTTACAGGGTCTCTTGGCCCCGAGGGGTTAGTGAATATTAGTGCATGACGATGCTAATCATCATCTTTATTATATTCGTTACAGAAATTTAAAGGGGCAGATACTAATTACCTTGGAATTCCTTGAGTCTGCTCATTGGCAAGACTTTATTCTTAGGTCGATATTCCATTGAAGAAAATAAGATGTATCACTTCACCCATGGTCAGTCAGCCACATCCAGCCAAATAGAGATCTGTCATCTTTGGTTCACTAGCAGGGCGATGATCCTTCAGCAGCTGCAAGTGCAGTGTCAAGGCCAAGCAAGACTATGCATATTTCCCTGAGCTTGAAGGTCATCTTTGAGAGAAAGGAAAAAGTTTGTTTCCAATGTCATTTGAAGGAGCTTAAGGAATAAGATCGTAGGATTGAGAGCTATTCGAGCTTCAACCCGTGCTGCATTTTTCTTAGGCCATGAGTTATCATCGTGAAGCTGGATTCACGAAGCATTTCTGCTTTCTTTTGACGGATATCTCGAATTAGGGAATCCATGTGAGCAGAATGGCTTGAGATGAGACAATAAGACGAGTATTGGATCTACCCTACAAGTTCTCATCATGTGTTTCATCTGATTGAGAGCTCATGGAAGTCCCATAAAGCTTCAATCTTTAGATAATCATCTACTTCTCCAATGTTCCCCCAGAAACCAAAATTGAGCACCTCAACGATAAACAATCAATTTTTGATATTAGATGGGATAAACAATTCTGATTTCGTACCAAGTTGCTATTCTCGATTTGGCAAGATTGGATTAGAGATCATCAGTATCTGGTTATTTTTCGAATAATCACTGTCCCTCTCCAAAGTTACTAGACTGTATAGTATGGGATTTCCAGCTCCATCTAGTCGACGGGTTTCCGAGAGGAGGTGAGATAAGTAGCCATTGTATGCTATCCAGCTCTCTCTCACGGTTAGATTCGACGAGAGACCACCAAAGTCTAATTGTTCAACGAAGACCCTACTATTTCCAATTGACTTTGGTCAGATCATAAAAGGCAAATGCCCGAACTGGTTCACTCATTCAGATCCCAAAATAGGCAATTGTTTGAGAGAAATCTAGAGGTCTGAAATTTCCAGTCTGGTGTCTTTAAGATCCGATCTCTATCTTAACTCTAAACGGTAGATGGATTCGGCTCTATAAAGTCTGATATGTATCCGATGCATGATTGTTCATGTAGCTAAATACGGATGCCGGGGCGACTTCCATCTCCGTTGTAGAGCGTGTAAGTATAAATCTCAACGAAACAATTCACAGCTCGTAAGTATCAGTTGCATAGCATCATTCTTCATGCAAGCAAATGTTGTTAAAATCACGCTGTTCGGCGATTCATTGTGCAGAACCACGGATTCATCACCAACAGCGTAATCTATGGACACAGCAGAAGCTGCGCCAACAATGCCTATGACAATAGAGTATTTCAGGCCTCTCATTTTATCGAGTGATGGTAATACATGTGCAGGTTGCCGATTCTAAGCCTCTGCCAATGTCGGTGCATCTCCAATCGCTTGTGATACTTGGGAACGTTGTACAGACTCGACATCTTCGCCCCGAAATATTACCATTGTCGTATCCGCTCGTCATGGTAAGTTTCTTTATCTCCAACAAGGGTTTTCTATCAACTTTGCAGTCCTAAATTTCAAAAATGTCGTTGCTTATATATATATTTACTCCATATGTCATTCCAATAAGCGCATATCCTATGGCTAATGCAAGCTCGAGCGATGTCAATATCACAGCCTTACGGACAGATTTTGCTCCTGGCTGGGTTTCAGAACCTGATGGTAGAGGCACTTGGGGCTTGCTATACAGCTGTGTCGGGACTTTAGTCGCATGTGTATATACAGCAATTCACTTAAACATTTCACCTACTGGCGAAAAAGCTTATTTTGGTTGGGCAAGGAAGGCAAAGTGGGTTATGATTGCACTGTTAGCTCCAGAAATTGTCGCATACACTGCTTTTGAACAATATTATCTTGGTCGCAAGTTCCTTAAGAAGTTGGTTCTTCAAGAAGAAGAAAGGGTTGGTCAACCTTCTATCCATGAAAAGTATAGCACTAATATCATGCAGACGAAGAACATTGCTGCAAAACCTACTTTCGACATGGTCTATGCTCATTATACGGTGATGGGCGGATTTGCTGCAGATGTTAGCCATCTTCACAATGTTCTCAAAACAGTAAACTTCACTACCGACGGTATCCTCTTCCTATCCAGTGTTGGCTTGGCGCCGCATCTCGATAAAGAAGAGATTGAAGACAAGAGTAAATCAGACCTACTTGGAAAAATGTTGGCTTCTTTACAAGGTATCTGGAGCATTGGTCAAGCAATTGAGCGGAAATATTCGGGCTATCCTACCACTATGCTCGAAGTGCATACCATCGTCCATGTTGTGTGCGCCCTCGCTTTATACATACTTTGGGCTACGAAACCGCTAAGTGTTGGGGGTACCTACCATTATGAAGTTCAATGAAGCGGATGAGAAATATCTAGCCTTTATGCTGCAAGTGGGGGCCGAGAAAGGACCTCGTTCGGTTGAACTTCACCCAAGAAACAAATGGTACAACATATCGCCGTCAGATCATTATGGATTTACGATCCATGATCGTACAAAGCCAGCGGACGACGTGTATGGTGAACCTGAGATGGGAATTTATCAAGTTGATCAGCAAATATCAGCAAATGCTACTTCTAGCAATGCTGCTGCCAGTGAGGTCGTCTCTCCAGCTTTCAACCCGGACCATCAATCTATCGACCATTGGCAGGAAGTCGGTAATATCGTCACACATTTTGTACAATCGGAAGAGGAAATCAAGAGCCTCCCTGAATCATGTAGGGCTCGCCAAACGCGTATAGAATATAAGCCGGCTACGGATGTGCCAATCGTTTGTACCATGGTTACAGGCCAGTCATTAAAGTCCGGCTTTGGTCCCGGTTTAAACCATGATTCGGGTAAAATGCGCCACGACACAAAATGTGATAGTAGGTCCATTAAAGTATCCTTCACATACAAGGACGTTAGGAGGCTCAACTTGGCTGCAAAATACGTTAAGGAATCCTCGCAATCATCAAAGCTTAAAGGAGGGCCGCACAAAAGTAACAAAATTTCTTTCAATGAGAAGATCGAAGCTTCTTTGAAACCAATATTTAAATTTGCAAAAGGCATGAAGACACCCCTTGCATTGAAGGCTCCAAATCTGAGCGGTACAATATTCAAGAGCGCGCAAAACGAGGCCACATATCTCTCTGCAGCCATGGCTATTATTCCGGCGCTATACGGATCCGTCCATCTTGGCGCCCTCACTATATTGTTTCCAAGTACGATAGAACGATTACTCTAGAAATTATCATGTTATTATCTGATTATTGCTGCCGGTCTATTCGGTGCCTAGTCTTTTTCGAAATATATGGACAAACAGATTGCTCGCTGGTTCAAGATGAAAAGTACCCCACTTGATAAATGGGAAGTTTTTAGGGGTGAATATGGCTATAAGTTTGAAGGTAAAGTTCAGAAATCTGTTCTTGGGGCTTTTTCGTCATTCCATTACATCAGATTGTTGGTTTTTGGACTTGGAGGAACAGCATATATTGCTGCTCGTATGTACATCGTTATTGAATCTTTTGTTTCTTTGCGCCATGTACCAATCGGAGTGTATCAAACTCCTGCGCTAAATCTCATGGGGAATCTTCCTCATGTTTAGTTGAGTTTCCTTTCTGGATCATTTTTGTCCAAATGTACTGTGGTTATTTCTTAGCATTGAAATAGGGGGGAAACTGATATTGCGGAATCTATATGTATGAGGCTTAGTGACTGAAGTTTGTAGTTTGATCAGATTACATAAAAAAAGGGGAGGGGGAAGGGTCGGCAACCTTTAAAGAGATGGAATGATGCTCACTTTGTAGACTAGAAAGAATCCTAGGAAAATCCTATGCTCTAAGACATTATTCTTCAGTGACCCTACGATGTAATATTTTTTACCGGTGTGATTGAGGATCTAATAGATAATGGAATCAAACTTATTTCAGCCACCTCCTTTGCTTCTTAGCTTTGATCGCTTCAGATTACACTCGCTAAATCTTTTCACTAATCTGTAGCAGTTTTGACTGTTCAGGCTTCCTGATCTTGACAATGGCTCATGTAACAATATATTTTACACGAAAATGTCAAAGGATATCTAGTCATAACGTAGAATCAATACCACAGGTCTATCATTCATTATTAGAATGCAAGGATAATCACTGCATTGCAGTAAAGTTCAGACTCTAGAAAATAGCTTTGAAAGTCATGCATGTTGCCACTTTTAATACCCGAGAGATGCCAATGGTTTCAACTCAAAAAAATTGATCAACAGAAGATAGTCACAAAGTCCTCTAAGGGAGTGGCTAGGATGAAGGAAGCTCTCAGTGGATTTATGTAGATACCATTTAGACAACGGGGAACAAATCTATATGTTCTGATTTTGACAATCTGAAACTCAAACTCTTTCATCCAGCCCTAGATGTGAATTTCTGGTGGGAAAGTGGAAGGAAGATAATGGAATAATCGGAGTAGAAGTAAGCCCTCCAATAAAGAAAAGAGAAAAAAAACCAAAACTGCCCCATTCAATCAATCAAACTACATGAAGCTTGGAACAGTGGTAATGAGTGAACTATGCATTCTAAACTTGAAAGAACATGTTCAACAAGTAGGCTCTCTTATTCACCAAACAACAACTTAACAAAGCAGCACCCACCATGACTTTCTTTGCTCTGCCATATGTTTTTGATCATTATTATCACTTTGTTCTCTCAGATTTACTTAAACCCCTGTGTAATCATGGCTCGATATTCCAAAAATTCAGAGAAATCAGTTTCTACACCGCATCACCCTTCTAGACACACCTCATAGCACACGCACGTATTTGTTTCGTCATGAATAACCTTACGCCGCGCGAGAGAAGTCTATTCATAACTATCTGGGATGTGGAGGGCGCTGATCACTCACCTAATGGAATGGCCGCCGAGATGACAAGAGCTGCAGCCGAGGATAGTGAAATTGATGACAGGCATTATTTATCGGGCGAAATGGAACAGATAATCACTAGTTTCAGGAGTGGAGAAGCGGAATGGCGGAAGGAGGAGGAGACGAGAAAAGAGGAGGAGGAGAAGAGAAAAAAGGAGGAGGAAGAGGCCAAGAAGGCAGAGGAGGAAAGGGAACAAAAGGAGAAAGAAGAGGAAGAAAAAAAACCCCCCCAGTTGATATTCTGGGCACACAGGCTTGCCAGTCAAAGAGAGGTTGTGAGTGGGAACGTTCAAGTGTCCGGGGATCTCATGGAATAGAAGTTTGAAGAACCCGATACAGAGATAATAACCGAAATGTTCATGTGTAGAAAGTGAATGATCAGTATTGATGTTAAGTAATTATGTCATTACCCCTTTCCAAGCGAACGCTTACACAACAAGCCGAATAAAGTTCTCCGTTCTCTTTTACTACTTGAGTGACCTTTAAACCATTATCTGCAAGTTCTGGGTTAGAAAAGAGTTCTTTTATGGGAACAATAGATTTTGCAGATATGTAGATTCAATATGGGAGTTTACACTTGCGAGTTCGAGTTTCTATGGCCGTATAATTAGATAGTATGTTATGAAGTGGCGATAAAACAATCCTTTCATATGCATGATGATATTTAGCTTATGTACCGCAAGATGGCCTTGTTCAATATTTACATTAGTATTACTGCTATAGACATAATGACGCCCTTTTTCATCACGGTGACATCAACATTGCCGGTGTCATAAGGTATGTATGTCCCTTATGTGTTGTTCCAGGATATGTTGAGAGTCATCAAGGGGACAGAGAAAGATCAACCTTTATCTATTGACAATCGACAATAATCCCTAGATCATCATATTCAATTGCGAAACTCTAGCTTTATGTGTTTCTTGAATTCGGAAGATAGTACTTGATGGTTGCACGGAGTAGGGAGTTTGAAAGCTATTCACCCGATGACACTTGCTGAGCTCTTCCAATTCTACTCAAGTGAAGTGAAATCCAAGAAGCATTGGAAGATAAATTTCTCAGTAATGTAGCAATCTTATGTGATTTAGTTACCTCTGTAGTTTCTCGACTTGAGAAGAATTTGTTATCATTCGTACTTAACACGAACAACGAATTACACTGGTAATAGGATTTGAGAGGAGATAGACTTAAGGACTCTACCTCCCTCGAAAATTAAAACCATCAGCGGAGGAATTTGAGACGAGATAACGCCAATTTCTCAACATAAAATCAACGGTATGAGGTATCTTGTCAAAAACTTCAGAGAAGTACCATTCATTGTGCGAACTCCGACTCAAGCAAACCACTCTCACGTCGATGTCATGAAAGACGAGAGAAGAAAAACGTTGTAGACAGCTCGACGAATTGTATCATCTGTGCATGCTATTTTATTCTTGTCAATGTTTTCAAGTAGCCGATGTCCTGCACTATGCACTCTGATAAATTCTGTTTCTTCCTAATGATTTCCCAGTGAATAGCTGCATCGTCATCCATCGAATCTTCAGTCTTCTCTATAAATCCTTCATCAAGTTTGCTGATTGATTTCAGTTCCGGCGTTCTCAAGGCATGATATGCAACATAAACAAACGATAATCACTTCCAGTGCTGCCCGAACGTCGGGATATGTTTTCCTCATGCAATTTTCTTGTGTGAAATGTTATTGTCATCCATAACGAATCTCGTTCCCAAGTCCCTGGAAGCATTCACAGCCATTTCATGAACAATGATTGAGCCCCTTCTCAACTCTACTTCGCAACCGGGGATATCTAACTTGTACAACAAACACGTGATATTCCAGTGTCGATCATCACGTGGAAACGTGCTGCTACCTCCCGTTTTCCTCTTCTCACAAGCTACCTTTTGCAATACAAAACGTCACCTACACGCGAGCTCCAACGCTCCCAACTCAAATCTCAAGAGCTACCTATCCCTCATAAATTCGCCACCTACCTCATCCAGAATATCACACCCATCAACTGCAAACCTACCTTCCTCCAAGCTCGAATCTTCAGATACACAAACCCAAATGCACGAACCTCAAAAACCCATCTCAGATTCCCATTCCATCCCGTCCCATCAACCCAATCCAAGCTTTCATCTCACCAAAACCCCAAACCAATCTAGGTAGTAACCTCCTCACACCCTTCGCAGAGACGCAATTGGAAGCCGGAAGTAAACCCTACCATTTCATCAATGATCTATCAACCAAAAACACCTCCAACTAAACCCATAAGATTCACAACAAAAAATCGAAAATTTACCTTTCCATTGAGTTAGAGCTCGTGACCATATCAAAGCACATTTCAAGTAGATATCAATACCAATAATTGGAATATAAAAACCTTGTAAGAGAAATCAATTCAGACATCTTTTCTTCTTCCCCGCAGACACATCAATGTTAATATACGAGGCTCTTCTAACCCAGAGAATCTCGTATAAAATTGACCTCGAACTCAAACTCAACCGTATCCCCATTCCCAATTCGAATTCAAATTCCAATTCTCAATGAACCCAAACAACCACGCACAGTGCACACACAGCAAATACGAGTCTCTCAGTCGTAGCAATCTCCTAGCAGATCTTCCCTGTCACTTCCACATGAACCTTTCTTTTTGCACCCTCGGGGTCTAAGTTAAATCGATGGATTCATGACTTCATTGTACTTAAGAGGCAGGCGAAATGAGGAGACGGGAAAGAGGAACGAGCCCAATCCGCATAGATGTGGCTAATACGCTAGTTTTAGCCCCGAGTCTAGTTCCATCTAGTTCCAGTCTAGATGCGTCGACCATGACCTAGTGGCGATCTGCGGAGGTTTTGTTTATCTGTATGTTTAGCGAGCGGCGACCAAAGGGTAAAAATGGGGTGTATATAGGTAACTGGTACATTAGTTCCCAGCTGAAGTTTTGATGCTAAAATGTGTATCGTGAGGATTGGTTATTGCCGCCGATGATTTTCTGAGCAGAGATGAGAAAATCGACGATGAAGAAAACATTTGACTAGAGAATATAACTCCTAAAAATTACATAGCTTTCTATTTTTTGCTATTATACAGGATTTCTGTGATAATTAATGTATAAACGTGAAATGAACGCGTCTCTCCATGTACCCTACAACCCAAACCCAAAAATTCATTTGTACCAATCCATACTGTTTATTACAATGCCGTCGGAGCCCCAAAATGATGTTCAGGCTTTTTTGGTCTCTCGGGCAAGGTAAAATTTGGACCTCTTTGAAAATCCTCACTTCTTCTATTCCAAGACCTAGAAGTGGTCCTTGAAGAAGCACCTGAGCTTCGTCTCTTTT